TCAAAGTGTTGGGGGTCTAAATTCAAAAATTTGTTGTACCTTCCTAAATTCAGTGCGCACGGAGTTCTCCTGTTTGGCCTTCACTGAAACTTGATTAAAACCTGATCTACATTCGTCTGAACTTTTCCACAATTCCTTCCAGGTTTTCAGAAATGATTGATTGGATCGCATTGGCGGTGGTGTATTAATTGCCATATCTTCGTCATTTCCGTCCAAATTAATTGAATTTCCTACTGCTCATAATGTTGAATTTATCGTTATTCGAGTGAAAATGCCTAACAAACAACTATTTATAACCTGCTCCTATATTCCCCCAAATTTTGATATCTCCATTTACAAGAAACAGGCTGTCCTCATTTGTGAAGCGGTCGAGCAGCCGAAACCCACCGATTTGGTAGTTGTATTGGGAGACTTCAATTTGCCAAAATTCACTTGGTGTGACAGTGATTATTCTGGCTCTTTGATTCCTACTTCAACGTCTGATAGAGCTGTTGTGTTCTTTAACAAATTATTTGATCATAATTTGGTTCAATATAATCGTACCCCTAATTCCAATGGTAGACTGCTTGATCTCTGCTTTGCCAATTCCCGTGAGATTAATGCTAATCGTTGTCCACCTTTTAGTATATCTGAGGATCCTTATCATCCAGCAATGTGTATTTCCCTTCATCACAAGCATGATGGTTCGTTGAACTGTTTTAATTCCAAATCCAACTTTTCCAAATAAATATTACGATTTTCATAAAATCAATATTGTATTGCTAAAATATCACCTTTCACCTATAAGGCTTGATTTCTCAACTGGAAGTATTGCAAGTTTATTATCATCGTTCTACAAAACATTAAATCTAGCTATTGCTGCATCTGTTCCGATCAAGTAGTGCCGAGCTCGAAGCAGGTGTCCCCCGTGGTTTAATAGGACAATTAAATATTACAAGAACAGAAAAAACAACTTATTCAAAAAATATTCGAAAAATGGCTCTGCTCTTGACTATTTTGCTTACTCCGTGGCATGGCATAGATTTAACTCCCTCAACCACCATTATTATTGCAGATATTTGCAGTTCATTAAATCCTCTCTGTTTGCTAATCCTAAATACTTTTTTAAATTTGTTAACTCAAAAAGAAGAATTTCCACACATCCTTCGCATGTTTTTTTTAATGGCTCTGATTCCTCGGATGATTGTGAAATCTCAAATCTCTTTGCTGAATACTTCCGACAAAACTCTTCGACCGATTTATAAACAACTATCCATATCCCATAACTAATCTGGTTTCAATTCCCAATTTGGTTACTTCTGAAAATGAGGTGTTTAAAGGGTTGAGCTCTCTAAAATATAGTTGTGCGCCTGGACCTAATGGAATTCCATCATGCGTACTTAAATCCTACGCCGTCGAGTTATGTGGTGTTATCTCAAAGATTTTTAACCGTCCTTTGAATTTAGGTATTTTCCCTTCATGTTGGAAGAGTAGTTTCCTTATTCCCATTCATAAAAGTGGAAGTAGACAACTTGTTGAGACCTACAGGGACATAGCCAAGTTGAGTGTATTGCCTAAGCGGTGGAATATTTCTTCGCGGATCATTCCAAAAAGTCCGAGTAACTAAAAGAATTAGTAGAATTACAAAACAACACCTCATATCGTCCGTGGAAAAGTTTCTCGCAGTCAATATATCAGATTCTACCGCACTGAATAATTGAACCTTTTTACACTCTTTTTTTTTGCACAAACTGGGACCATAACTAACAGTCGTCCCGCAATTGTAAGTACTAATAAACAAGAGCAAGGCAAAGCTCGTATATGTAATGGTAAAATAAACTTAATTGTAAAAATTAGAAAAGTTTACCACGATTAACTCTTCTTGGTAACCCAAGTACCAAACAAGCGAAAAGAAATAAGGAAATCAACTATTTTAAGAATTTTCATTGAGTTTAACAGAAATTTCTAATTCGCACATAATACGGTCATCAGTATTTTATTGTTATTATTATTATTATTATTATTAATTTCGCCAGAGAAATAAATTCTAAGACTAAACTCTTAAAAGCACTGGCATCTAAGGCTATCGGCTTTTTATTAAAAACTCTACCGCACTTGAGATTCGAACCCACGACCATTGACTTGCTAGTCGAGATTCCTCCCCTTCGGCTACTCAGGCGGATTTTATTGTTATTATACTTTTTTCTTAAGATTTAAATTCGTAAACTTAATTAAACTTTCTTCTTGGTTGTAAAAATTTGTAAAAATAATGTTAATTATTATATGAGTTTCCGTGTCAGTAGGTTGGCTTGGAACGATGTAGTATTCTATGTTCCACGTCTCTTTCTCCCTCTTTCTCATAAACCGCAGAAGAGCGGATTATCTGATTTTTTTTTTACGTAATGTGTGGTGAAGTAAAGTACGTATTTTCATCTCTTTTCCTACTCTTTTCAGTCATCCGATAAAGTGAAATTATAAGTTTGTGCCTACCTTTCCAATTCGTTTCCTGAAAATGATTTGACGTGCTATGCTTTCAATCGTTTTTAAAAAGTGATATTTCACTATCCCTCCTCTCAACAGATCCCAAAGTAAGCGAATGATACTGACAGTCAGCACTACGCTCAAAAGGAGTGTAAAAAAATGTGCAACTGTTACTAGCTTTTACGCTGCTTCTTTGATACGCATTCTCCTTCACGATCATTCTTAAATGAAATGTTTACAAAACTCTAAAAAATAAATGTAAGGAGCTCCAGGATTCGCTACAACTCGCAAAGTACAATTTGCAAATTTTACAGTTTAAGTGCGTTTGTGGACCGTCCGCTACCATTTCTAAACTTAATTTTTAGCTATCAATTAAGAACTTGTATATCCCCATTTATCTCATTATTTCAGTGAGTAGCTGCTAAATCGATATTTCAATACCTAAGGATCATATAATCAGAAAGTCTTACTTACGAGTATTTATGTATAAAATAGTGTAACTATAGAAATTTTCTTTAAATTAAAGCTGTATTGCAAAGAACATTTTTTCTATTCATTGGAAAATAGAAAGGGAATTATATATATATACGCACGCATACATACGTTTACACATTTGGGTAGATATCACATATGCATACTATATAAGTAAAAAATAATATATAATGTTACGCGCATGTACAAAAATGAGAAGTCTAACATGAATGTAGAGCATACTTCGACAATTATTGAAGACAATTACAAAAGAAATATGAAGAAATATGAAAAAGATCGGTCGAGCCTCTGATAATACAAGCATGGCCCAGGCGAATTTGAGAACTTCAGCGTACTGATCGTTTTTTCATTCGAGAATGTAGTCGACGTTAAAGGATTCTACAGGATATATTAAATTATTGGATTCAATATCGATAGTAGCGTACGACTCTTCAAAGAAGTTAACAGCAAAGTCACCTATGAAAGGTGCTTTCACGTATTCAAAGCTTTTGTAATATTAACCATACGTCTCGAGCCCATGGATATGTAGTTTCTTACAGCTAATGTAAAATTGTCTCCTCCTTTTAAGTGGATATGATTTATATGATATATATATACCTATATGATATATATATTATCTATAATGATAAGAAAAGGAGATAGACAGGCCGTTAGTTGGTTAAATCGATTGAAAACCTTACGCTGATGGGAAAAATGCGTATACGTACGTATTACATTTTTGAGGCACTTGTGTGGACGAATAAAGATAAGCACACCAAAAAGCAGGTTGATAGTTCGCATGGGGGCTATATATGTGTAAATTGAACTGTACGTATACGAAATGCACTTTTAATTGCCTCTACATGAAGGCCAAACTTAATAACCTTTTGCACTATTTGTTTTTATTTTCGCAAAACAACATTATCTTAATAGCTTTGCGATTTAAATGATTGGCGCTCACATAAGAACCACAAATAAATACTGATTACTATCATGCATTATCACCCATAAGAACTTTTGTTCGAGCCAAAGTCTACAGCTAAGTTTTCAAAATTTTGTTATTCTTTCTATTGATAAGAATCTACTATAGCGGTTACTAAATTTTATTTGTAGACACATAAAGAGTCGCAAGACGAGGTGCGATTGATTTAAGCGCAAAAATTTGCAGACAATTACATCAGCTGAAAAGTGACGAAGTAAAGCTGAGGAGGCTGCACTGATCTACTAATGGTAACACAGATACCCATGTCTATCTGCTTGGCGATTTATCACTCTCTGTAGGTTTTATATGCTTAAAATATGTGGGTTTGTTCAAGCTTTAAATTAGTTTATAACACATAATAAAAATAATAACAATTAAAAAGGGTGTGCAATAAAGATGAATACGTTGGCACATAGGTAAGTGTTGCTGTATCCACCAACAGTAAATGAAAGTGACTGCCTATTTATTTTATTTGCAACATTTAAATGTAAGTATTCGAAAAAATAGAAAGTATCTAACCGTTAATAGAATTGTTTTAGATATAAACAAAAACAAAACAAGAAAGCTTAAATTTGTGAAACTTAAGTGAAATGTTGTTAAACAATGTTAACAAATAATTTAGTAATGTTGGTCAACGTAAATTTTAGACTGAGTGATTCTTATGCTCACTTTGTGCTGTATTCCGGAGAAATAAATCCAGTGATATTCGCTGGAAAGCCTTGAGGAAAGATCTATTGGTTTATAAACCAATTTTCTTTTTCAAAAACATAAATAAACTCTTGCTCACGGGAGACCCCGAAATTGAAGCGCATGTCCCCTACACTACTTTCCTCAAAACAATAAAAGAACTAATGCTATTTTATATATTTTTCATGACCATAAAAACATTGTAAAAATTTATTTAGTGGCAAAAAAATAAATTTTTTATTTTTTATTGATTATATCCTATAAAAAAGATATTGCAGAAAATAGAATGCCTACTGAACGTTTAGAATTACAAAATTTATGACATACAGCACTAGTTATGGCATATGTAAGCATTTATAAAAAAGAAATAAAGAAACAAAGTCATAAGGTGTATATTTACCGCGTAATATTGACGCAGCCTCACGTAATGAGCATGAGGCTGAAGTTGTTATATATGTTGTTATTGGTAAAGGTACCACAACAGATTACGACGTTTAAAATGCTTCGTTTTACATGAAATTGGAATAGAGCGCACTTGGTTTCTTTTGTGCTGTTTTCCTTTAGCGCTTGTTATATAATTCAGTTTGTTATTAGGTTAGTGCAATTAAGTAGCTTAAACGATGTAATTATTGTTACCAACTTAAAATATGAATTCATCATCACCATCTCTAACAGAATATTCATATATAATCTATGTATCAATGAGCAACTCAGCTGAAAGTATGTTTCAACTAGTTGCTATTGCTCTTATTGTTGTAATTTGTTTCTCCATTCATATTATAATATACAAGGTTCAAGTCTTCTCAAGGTCTAATTTAGATAATAGCGATTGCCATCACGTTCGTTATCTATTTGGAGTCCATCCACAATTAAATTATACCCCGGTTGATTTCTCAAATTACACAACTTATATTACCTTGAGCCGATAGCCTGTGTTGCTAGTGCTCAATGTCTTTTTTTTAGTCTAAGAATTCAATTCATTAGTCTAAAATTAAAATAATAATAATAATAATATATTATCTTACACACTTAAAGTCGCACATATTTAATTTTGCTCTTTATTTTAAAACAAGACAAAGTTCACTACATATACTATCGGAATTGCAAGAAAAGGCAATATTCCCATATGCTAAATTTAATTTTTCCATAGTCGAAGCACAGACACGAGAAAGTTATTACTACAATATCCAATTTCTCGTAATTCTTCACCTTTTTTATATTCCCTCCAGTTTTTCACATCTCCTCCCCTGAAAATCCCAAAATCGTTCTTCGTATCTTCCTCTTCTTTCTTTTCCGTTTTACGCCATTTTCTTTTTGTTTACTGCACGCATGCCAATGTTTCAGGCTTGCCAATGTTCTTCTCGCCCGTCATCCCCCGTTGGTGAATTTATCAACCTTACCTTCTACAATTTTACATACAGGGTTGCACTTGTAACTAATGTTATAATTGAGGAAACATCAATTTTGCAAACATTTTACAGGCTATTATCGCTTCACAATGATAGTTCCCTTACACGGAAGGAGGCGCGACCATTGGCACATGTTTACTGAATGTTTAATATTATATATAAACTTCTTCCCTATCTGGTGACTCAAGTGTTTTAATATCCCCACAGTATAAGTACAAAGAAGACAAAATTACAGTACAGTTATGCTTTGCATATATATGAGCAAATCTAATTCGTTTGAAGTTATAAAAACTTAAGGAATAACTGATAATTTTTACTTGTGCCGTTTATTTCAACCCATCAGATTCACATATATATGCAAGAAAAAAGAATGAAATGCATTTTTTCTGGGGTATGAAATATGTATTTCTTCGCAAGTTTATTATTTAAGGCATTTTCACAAACACATACACTGCTTTAATCATAGGAAAGAGAGGTTAAGTGTAGATAGAATTGATTGCTCGCATTTGTCAAGAAAGCGTACTTTCGGTGTATTAGTGGTGACATTCTATTGCCATATAAAAATTATATAGACGATTTAATTGTAGTAACATGCAAGCGCAAAATTTGGCAAGGATGTTCAAATCCACGTTTTCAGAGTCTAAATGCGGTTGATGAGTTATATTCAATACTAGTTTTAATTAGCGCCAACGGAATTTTGTAATACAGTGGTGATGCTCTTATACCATCTTGCTGAGCTTCCTGTTTTAGTCTTGGGCTTATATCATGTTGGTTTGATGAAACTGGTTTGTTTAGTGATGAAGTGATAGTATACGTGATGTTTAGAAAGAATGATGAAGGAGTTCTTCTTGATTAGGAGGCAGCGATATGGTGATAGTCGGTTAACTACTATTTATTCTGGGGTACCAAATTTTTCGGATACGAAATTAAGATGCTCAGCTGATTGAGCTGTACCGCACCATTCATCAGTATCGGATGGTACTGCTCTGTAAACTTTTTCGACCACTTCCCATATAACGACTTTTCAGAAAAAGGCCTCAAGACTGAAACAAACCAACATCAAACATTGTACATCCTTAAGTTACAACACGTCAATGTATCAAACTCCAATAAAATAGCTTTAAAATTGCGTCCAAGTGTGCGACCAGACATTAGACGGATACACGAGCTTAGATCGATTACGAAAAAATTGCAATTTTCAAAATTTCTCGTGCGTAAGTAAAGGTATATGGACATTCCAAATTGGTGCGAAAACTTTGGTCCGGCTGGGGCAACTTTTGAGCCCACTCTTATAAAACGAGAACTGTAGTTCACATGACAAAAAGCATGATAAAAATCCAATTATAACAGTAATTTAAGATAAAACAACGAAGAACATTACAGTCGGGCAACGTCGACCTTCAAACACCCTCACTCGCCTAGGACGGTTATTCGCTTGTTTTGATACTAATATACCTGAAAGCACACATTATTTTCACACGAAGACATAACTGTTACGAAAGCCCGCGTATTACCAGGTTACATTTTCTCTCCATATAAGAGTTTGCGCTTCGTGGTAGCACGTATATATATTTCGTTTGAGCAAAAAATAGACCTACGTAATCCAAATGCACACCATTAATTTTTTTGCTGACACGCTATTGTGAATTAATTGCCATCATAAAATGTTAGAAATTGAGTTGTTTTCCGAATGACTTGCTACTCATGGAACATTTTATAATAAGTGCGGCCAAGAAATATACCCAGGTAGTTTAAATTAGGTCCACCCAATTTTTTTATTTATTTACAAACAAATTTTCATCACAAAAAAATTAACAATTAGCCTTTTGGGGCATATAAAAGTTTATGTTTCATAAGAATCCTTCTATGCAGTAATAACCAAAAAATAGATCTACGTGGTCCAAATTCGGTAAGGTAAATTTCTTTGTCAATTTACTATTATGAGCTAATTTTCACCATGAAAAATTGGATCTTTTTACTGTATAAAGCGCTAACTTCCTTAGGGACGGTTATATGAGGGCGTGTTCAAAAAACTGCCAGCTGATACAAAGCTTTCGCACCAACTGGGAAAGCTGAAATATTACTACTTAGCCACTTTTGCCAAGAAATTGGCAATGTTTTCCCATATAACGACTTTTCAAAAGAGGGCGTTTTATGAGGTGTTGTCGAAAAAATAGAGCAATTGGAACCATTTTCAATAGCGTTCATTTTTGGGTCAAAACACGTCACTGTACCAAATTTCATCAAAATATTTTAGATTTACAGATGGGCAGTCATTAGACGGACAGAAAGGCTTAGATTAATTCAGATTATGATTCTGAGTCCATCGGTATAATAAAAGATGGATCTATCTGAAGACTCTCTGTGTGTTACATACGTCCACCCTAACTTAATATACCCTGTACCACAAGTGGCGTAGCGTACAATTAACTCTACAAAATTTGGACCACATACGCCTAATTTTGGATCCTACCTTACATAAGGAATTGCACGAAAGGTTTTGTTTTTTAGGGCAGAATGGCTTAAGTTTTTATATTTTTTGATGAAGATCGGTCTATAATAGTAATTTGACGTAATAATTAACTATGCTGAATTTTGGACACGAACCTCCATTTTGGGCCCTCTTGGGTACAACCATTCTTACGGAGAGTAAGCCTTTATTTGAGGTATAATTTTTATTGTGTAGTTTCATAAGTTCATATAAAAACAGAATATAATTTTTGTGTTCTATGGCAAAATAAAAATTATATTAGCCAATATAATGTAGGGTATTTAATAGTCGGCCTAGCTCCACCTAATAATTTCACCTGTTTTCGCTTGTTGTTGTGGAAGAAATATCGTTTATGCACATGAGGATAGATATATGCGTCCAGTATGCAAAGGACCGAGGAGGAATGGGTTTTTGAGTCCACAAAAACCTCCTAAATCTTTCCTTCTCTATGAAATTTGTGTCCTTTAAATAGACCTACCGCGGTTTTATCAAGATTTTTGCCACATTCATTCAGTCCATTCATATATTAGACGATTCGAGTTGGAAAAAGCTACGTCTGGAACACTGCCAACAGTAGAACTACCGTTGGAGTGAGGGAAGACGGCATCGATTTATTCAGGCAATTTGAAGTACTAGAGTTTGTAATATTAAAAAGACTCTCACCAGTGCTATTTGAGACTGGATCACCAAGAGAAGAATGTCTCTTATTGAAATCTCCAGCAAGAGCTACATTTTGAAAGCTTTCTAGAAAGCCACACAATCTTTGCCTGTCATCCCGAAAGATTTGGATAGATATATTTGGTAGAAAGTAACAGGATGCTAACACCATTATAGGCTTAAACGACCTAGTTTCGACAATGACTGTATCTGCCAAAAATTTATATGGAATCAGCTTAGGGCATATTCTTTGCTTAATAAGGGCGGCAACGCAACCGTGTCCATTGACACGGTATTTGTGGACCGAAATATAACTTGAGACGTTCAAATTTGATACATCCTCATCAGATAAGAAAGTCTGACTGTAATTAGCAAAATCAGTTGCCTTGGAGCTTAGAAAATTATCCAGAGAGTAGGCATTGCGTCTGAAGTCTTGATTATTATATTACAAAAGGCAGCTCACTTGTAGTTATTGGGGGGTCTTAAACTGCTATTTGACACAGATTCTTGTAGCTTATCGAAGATAGATTCTAAAGTAGATATTTTAACAAGTAAAGTTTAGAGAGGGGTCGAAGTTTTCATTAAGAAGTTTTTCCATCTCAATGGACTTATACTTATTACAAATAATCTTCGATTTAGGGGGAGTACTTTTAACGAGACGTTTAAGACACTGGGACGCGTTTGCCACATTTCAAATATAGTTTTAAATACGTCATCAAGTTGTCTAACGGCAGTATACGGAAATTAAATTTTATAACTTTAAAAAAAACTTTTTCATTGAGCTAAATTTAACGCTGTTTGTACGCATAAATTTACTGTTATCGGATGTACAATCCAATGACAGACTTGACTTGTATTTCGGACTGAGCCTTATTCATTATTTCATGTTCTTTAACGGAAGTGGGAGTGTTTGCATTTTGATGTGAAATTACCGGGGATACATGCCTTTAGGGATTTGGAATGCAAATCATTGTCTTTAAAGAACTTGTTAACATTTTGGTCATTGCCAAAAAGTTATTTGGCCCTCAGGAAAATTGAATTTTTTGTTATACTCATAAAAGAACAGATCGGAATTTAGATGACCCGATGATCGTCAACATTTTCATACGTCTGGTCTGGATTGACAGTTTTATCAACTCCACTAATAGAGGCAGCAGCATTGTCGCAACCATTTTCCGCATCTGCCATATTCTTGGAATTTAACCATGTAAACCATGGAGGGAATCATTTATGTCAACAGCTATATCCTCAACTGAGAACGAAAATGTAAGATTCTAAGTACTTTCTGTTTAGCGACTTCAAACCCTTACGTTTTACTTCATCACAACTTTTCAAGAATTTATTAAAATCATCTTCATTTAATACTATTTTTACCTCGACCCCTTGCGGAGCAGGCTACTTTTAAC